ACTATAGAATTTTTCTAAACTATTGAAACTTATCCGACCTATAACATAACATAAATATATCCAAGTTAATTTATATTCCGGATAACATAAACTTATCTCGGGTACTCATTCGATTCTCGGTTCAATTCAGATACGTCTTTGTGACCAAACATGCCCTTTTTAATAAACCACGTGTCGTTCTGAATGTACAAAAACGACGCGTGCTTTGTACTTCCCGCCACAGCAACAAGTCCCTCAAATCGAGATCCTCACCGCCGATTACGACCATATCCTTCTCTTTCCTCGCGGCGATGACGGCGAAGAGAAACCGTAAGAAGCCCCGTGCTTCCAAGGTCTCAGATTCCGACAACTTATTCCGATCCATTGCTTCAGCGATTGCATCCCCTCAGGTACAACAGTGTTTCTACTCAATACCCAAATCAAATTTGCTCTCCCTTTTATCAATAATTGATCCGGAGTCGGAATTTACTGGGCACTGCTTTGATTCTGAGTAGTTTTGGTAGAAACCCCATTTGCTCAAAGGTGATGATTAGGGTTTCGAAGTAATCATCTCTGTGTTGTTAATTTCCAGGTTTCTAAGCAGCCAATTCTGAAACGATTGGTGTACCTTCTGGGTCATTTATCATTAACTCAACCGTTAATTTGGGAGAATTGTGACGGCGCTTCACATTCTTGGGAAATCAAGTTTATTGGAGAGCAAGTGGAAGTGATCAATTTCGAGGATGTTTGTAACCTCTCTGCTATTTTGTTCACAGAGCTTGATAAGAGTTTCGAGAACCTGTTCTCAGCTTTATTCAAACACAAGGCTGAAACTTGTCCCACGTTTGCAAATGCAGAAGAGAGTGTTGAATTAGCCACTCTATTCTTAAGATGTTGTTTAAAGGTCATGGCTTTACTTATGCCCAAACAAGATCTCGTTCTGGAGAAATCCCAAACTCTTCTCTCAATCCTCAGTCGATTGATTCGTGCAAAGAATGAGGATTGTTCTTTTGTATTCACGCATGACAGACTTTTAGATCCCCGCTATACATTTCTTTGTACAGGACTTGAGGTAATTCTTTGGCGAATTTCTTTATTCTTAGACTTCTTAAAACGGTCATGTAACTTGTGGTTCTTGACTATACCTTTGGGAATGTTATGTTCATCGGCTTTTTGACTATGCCCCTAACATTATATGTCCAGGTTTTCATTGACGAGATTTTGGTGAGTAAGTCAATCAGGGATCTGCTTTTCCTAGTCGATTCTGCATTCTCCTCATGTAGACTGTTTAGTAATCATGATACGGCAAGAGTGATGGAATTGGTTTCTGCTCATTTTATCTTCTCAATGTCTGATGAGAAAGTGCATAAAATGTATGTTGAGGGATTATCCTGGAAGCAAGTTCATGCGGGTAGAACGCCTCAAATAAGCTTCAATGCTGCTGCGTCCTTGCTGTCAAACCCTGTGATGTTATCTGCACCAAGAATGATTCATGCCTATGTGGGTTTATTGGTTTCTGATGCCATCAGTATTTGTTCACCTCCATGTGTTAAGGAATTAGACCTTCAGCTTATTGATCGCTATATTGATGCATTTGAAAAGTCTGTTGTTTTATTCACATGGCACATGTGTAAGGGTGAGAATGCCTCATCTGGGAGATTTGGTGTTTCGACGAGTAGCTCTTGGGTGGCTTTTGAACATCTTCTTTTGCCTTCAACACTGGAGAAAGTTAATCATCTCACACTGAAGCTAAAGGATTCATGGAGTTCATATCAAATTAACAATGTCAAGAGAAAACATGATGAGCTGGTATCTTATTCTGTTGCATACGCAAAGGTCAGCTTATATGTATTTGAAAGCTCCTGCTCTCAAAATATGTTGTCGCAGACCTTATCAATTCTTGCTTCTGTGATACTTAGAGCTAGTTCTGATGATGTCATGGATACTGTTTTGGAAAAGTACAACGCATGTAGTATTGAGGATCTATATCTGCTTTCATCCACACTGAAATTGATGAGTTGTTCGATGTTACAAGCCATCCGGGCTCTGAGGGATTGGAACTTGCATCCATCTGAAGCTGTAGGAGATGTTCGAGATTGCAAGGAATACAAAGCCATGATGGATATTGTTCAACGTTTTGAACAGTTCAGTGTTCATTTGCCCAGTCAAAGTTTCCTCTGCGATAAAATGGAATCTCATCCTCACAGACATGTGAAATCTAAGTGGATGCTTATGCATTTTTTGGGCTTACTGTCTATAAGCTTTGCACTGAAGCTTGACTTTCTTGTGAAGGACTCCATTTTTGGAATGGTGGTATCTTTATATTTATTTATCCTAGAAGGGGGTGACTTGGAAGCACTTGAGGGTTCAGTTTGTCACTCAGAAAATCAGTCATCGTCCGTACCATCCAGTGGTTCCAAAGACTCGGCAGCTTCAGGTAAAGCTGAGGAGGTACGTAGACAAATACCCTTTGCTCTAATCTCTTTTTTGTTTATTTTCGTTTTTATAAATGGATCAGTGATATTATATAATACAGACTGCAGTAGATAAGAAACGGAGCGGGGCGATTGCTTTGAAGTTTCAAAAAACCCGAACTTTGTACTTGGGGTATGTACAAAACCTTGTTGACCAGCGAAATTGATATTGATCTTCTCCTCTAACCGGTGTACATGTATCTCCATGGTTGCGCAGGAAGTTGTCTAAAGCAAAAGATCAAGAGGAAGGTTCGGATTCAGGAATTGGTGTAGAAGAGGAAAGCTGCAATGGGGAGAGTTTTCTATGGTGTTTGACCGAGAAACGCAGTGACGTGGATGACTTGGCAGATTTCATAGCTTGTGAGCCCGGTAAGAATTACTCTGATTGGCTAAAAGGGAGAGAACGGTTTCGGAGTCAACGGTGGAAGTCGAACAAGATTGCTATTATAAGGTGGAACAAGAAGAAAAAAGCTTGGAGAGAGAATAGAAGAAAGATTGTTTAAATACATAATATAATCTTTAGTAGCAAAAGAGTTGATCATTTAACGTTTTCAAAAAAACCATAACTAGTGAAGTTAGTTATCCTATGATCTAGTGGGGAAAGAGTTAAATCATGTAAATATTCCACTAGTGAGGCTGGGTGTGCGGCCACTGGAAATCTGGTTCAGCGGGAGTGTGAGGCTTGGTGTGTGGCCAATGCTCCTGAGGAAGAGGTAGATACTGATCTTGATCACCATAGGGTGATTGAAGATCAGCCGAATTTCGTCTGCATAATTGACAGGTCCTAGAAAAGCAACACTACAACAAGTGGCTCGGCTTTGGATTTACAAGATGGAGCTGTGGATTTGATGGAACTCAGATAACCAACGAGGTATTTCAGCTTTGCACATGGAGCTCCAGAGTTTGAGCAGTGGATTCCCTAGTGAGCCACAATCGCTTATGTTGTTTTTGTCCGAATGTTCGACCAAATAGAGGAGTGACCAGTGTTTGCATCAGAGCTTGGGCAACTAGGAACCTTGAAAGCTTCTTTTTCGAAACTTAAGTTAGTGTATGAACCTCGTTTGAGGAATAGTAACAACCACATCGGAATCAATTGTGGTAATTCTATGGTTCTATAACCCCAGCTTGCAAAAAAAATATCAAAACACGAGAAGAACAGTATCACAACTATCAAATGTAACAAAAACTGTTTCTTTCCTTCAAAGTTATAGCCTCAACAACAGTAGCGAGAAGAACAAAGAAGTGAAGATGTACTTTAAAAGGAGAAGAGTCTCTAGTCGTATGTAAAAGGTGCATTATGAGTTTTTAAGAGTCCCATCCTAAAAAACAGGACCAACAAAAAAAAAAAGGCAAAAATCCCAGCTTTAAGATATTCCGAACTACAACAACGCAGCTTCGCTTGCTCACACTCCGATCTAGAGAACGTAGTAGTAACCCAAGACAAGAAGCACCAGCACCACAAGTGCAGCTGGAGCTGCCCAAACCCAGTAGTTTGTCGACTTCTTACGCTTGAGGATCGCTCTTGGGAGCGTTTCTGGTCCTCTACCGCGAATCCTGTTCCTTATCGGTTTCGCCTTGACTGCTTTTTCCTTGTGTGGTTTCTCCTCCTGCACCAGAGATTCAATCTCCTCCTTCTCTGCCTCAGAAGCTTCTGGAGCTTCCTCAGAATCTTCCGCTTCTGTATTGCCTCCAGTTTTCTTCTTCGCTTTCTTCTCTAGCTCCTGCAACACACAAAATGATGGAGATAATTATTAGAATGAAAAAGAGAGAATGCAAAAGAGAATCGAGGTACTGCAAAAGAAAAGTAATTTCCTTTTTCTCTTTCTTCTCAGCTTCCTTTTGAGCTCTTATAGCAGCTTTAGCAGCAGCTTTCTCCGCCTGCTTCTTTTTCCTTTCCATGGCTTGCTTGGCTTTAGCAATCTCCTCTTGCTTTCTCATCTCTTTCACAGTAGCTTCATCAACCGCTTTTTCCTCTTTCTGCGGCTTTCCAAGACCATATACT